AATAAATAGAAAAAATAAGAAGACGAGTTGGCCAAAAGAATGCTGGTGATCAATACCGAAAACTTGGAGAGCCATCAGTAGTCAGTAGGCAGCCTTGTTGGGCTTTTTAGACAATTGATGACTCAAATATTTTGAATTTGTTAAAACTTTTTTTTAGAGCAAAACATTTATCTCGAATTATCCTTTAATTTAAAATCCCCTATCCCGTTCCCCCTTTTCCTCTCTTCTACTCACCCAACAGCCAATTCTTCTCCAAAAACTTTTCTAGGTTTCGACTTATTTTCCCATCTGCAAAGAAAAAAAGTAAATAAGAAAATAAAGCAAAAAAGGACAAAAAAGTCTCTTTCCTTTACCCTCCCAAATAATAAACTCTTTTTATCTCAAGTATAATTAAATTAATTTTTTGTACCAAACATCAGTCAAAAACCTCTAAGAACGGCTGTTTTCTAAACAACTACTTTACTTTTTATACACAATGAGTCTTTTCATTTGTCACAAATTAATAGAACCTATGCTATTGAAATGTGCAACAAGTACTCAAGATTTGACAGAAAGTAGAAGAAAAACTTTTTTCACCAAAGCTACTGACAACAAAATCCGTTAAGATGCCAATATATTATAATGCTCCAATAAGCTTGAATTCAAGATGTCTATGCCAGCACACCAATGTTATATAGCAGCGGCAGCAGCGGCAGCAACAGCAACAGTAGTAGCGGTAAACGAAGACGATGGTTATGTGTAGACTTTGTAGCAATAAATAACTAAAGCTTCAGTCAGCAAAATAATCAGGCCAAATAAATGGTTATTAAAGTAAATTTTCCTGGCAGTTACTACAGCCCTAATAGAAAAGCTTGAGAAAAACACCAACTATTGCTTAATGGTTCACATAAGCAAGAAAAAAATAAGAATAAAAACGAAAAACAAAAAAAAATTGTTCAAGATATTCGCAAAAAAAAATAAAGGCCACAAGTTTCTTTTTCTTGGCACCTTCTTGATGACGAACATTTTATGCACTGCAAATATCAGCAGCAACGGCTATGGCTTAAAAAAGGAATAAACAAAAAGATTCCTACATCTTTTTTTTTCTCGATTTTCCTTTGAAACATAAATAGCCCTATTTATGCGAAAAAGATCTGTGAAAGTTTAAATTAAAAAAATTTCCATTTCCCAATCCACTTCATCTGCAGCGGTAGTAAATGTGCGTGTATTTATGCGTATACATATGCGGACATAACTGAAAACCTTCCAAAAACTCACAAAATTAAGCGATGTTTGCATAAGGACTGACAAAAAAAAATTCCTCTTTTTTTGTTGGTAAAATTAAAGAATTTGTAAACGTCAAAAACGGATCATGATCTTTTGATCTAAGCTTTATGCACTTTTCCTACTTTCATTTAACGCTGCTGCAAATCAATCATTAATACCTCCTTTTCCGACAAACATTTCCACATCTTCAACAGCTATCACCGCTTAAAAAAAAAATTAAGTTCATCCTCCGCCTCCCATAAATGCATTTTTCATCAACAAATTAAAAAACAAAACAGAAGATTCCTAAGTTTACAAACCGCTTCAATCTAAAAAAATTTTTTAAGCACCAATTGAAGTACAGAGAAGAATGTCTAAAGAAAAAATAGCTTAGCGAGAATCCCGCATGCCCTTACCATATTGCAAACATGTAATCAAAAGAATAATTTCTAGAAAAAAACTAGATTAAACGATATTTGTAATGTCTACCAATAAAGAAAAGAGAAGATAGTTGTAGCCTCATCAACAAACTCAGCAAACTACATAAGCCGTATGCTAGAAAATGACTTACTCAACATAAAACGTCCCATAAGTGCCATCTTCAACTTTTTCCCAGCCTTCTGGCAAATCTCTAGGGTCTTCCCACTGAGTTGTTCCTGAGTTATGGCTGCAAATATTGCAAATAATATGAAAATATGGTATTTATCAAAATAAATTTGTCAGTGAAGGAAATGGTCAACTGCATCATTCAATTGTAAGACTTGAAAGAAATAAACGAAATGATGACACGAAACACATACAAATAAAAAAAAAAAATTCAAAACCCATTTACTGCCCTTAAAATAACAGTTAAAAAATTATTGCACTGTCATTAAATTAGGCACTAAACGAATAAACTTCAAAAAAAAAAAAACTGAAAAATAATTTATAATTTCAACAAAGAAGAAAAAAAAAAGAACATTGCGTAACTCGTGTCATCTGCCATAACCAAAATTTAGTTTTTGCAATTACTTAGTGGCACTTTCTCACAGAAATACAAATCGCAAATTTGTAAGCTCCTCGGTTTTTTTTTTT